TACGAAAATAGTAGAAACATTTTCGGTGACCTGCTGAACACTACCGAACGCTCATACGCTTCTTTGTCGGTTTACTACGGAAGCTCTGCTGCAGTACGAGCAACACGTAAAGACAAAAGACAGATAGATCCATTCAGTGAATGACGTACGGATGTTCATCAACCAACTGTACAATGCGTCGGATTCTACATAAAAAAGTTATTAAAGAGATAACGCAAAGCAATCTGGTTAGATTTCGTGCCGTCTTTGTTCGATAAGCGGACACGACATACACAGATGTCAGAAATTTAAAGCCGCACAATTAAACAAACGAAAGGAGCTCGTAAAAATCCGTATATATGCTTCGATTGCCTGGATACTGATACTTGGCCACGACAGTTATCAGCGTTAGAAATGCCAGTGGAAACTATGAGCAGCTTCAAGCAGTGATGGATAGAGGATCGGAGCGCACACTGATGTCAAAAGAAGTAGCACAGCCTTAAGGCTGAAGAGAAATAAGTTCTTAACCATTGATGGGAATAATGAATATGAAAACTTAGAAGGCGGATGAGTTAAAAATAAAAGGTTCGCCGCCACTACTATAGATCAGAACAGCTCAAATTTATTAAAAATGTAAACTAGTTTAATTTTAATTAAAACATTTTAATAATAACAGATACACTCAACGTATCTGTTTCCTCCTGCAATCGTGCCCCCAAAAGCATTCCTACAGTTAAACATTTAACCAGCCAGATGCGTTGATTATTTTCGCTATCTTGACCGGTCTCATATGTCGGAGCTCCGATAAACCAGTCAGGGAGTAGTTTCCCAGGATTGCCAGCCTTTTCCTGGCAAGTGCTGGGAAGAGGCAGAAGAAGTGTTTCGGAGATTTCACTTCTTCCTCATCTTTGCAGCTTCTGCAAAAGTCACTGTATGGCACCTGGAGTCTGGTGGCATGAATGCCTACCAGCCAGTGCCCAGTTAGAGCCTGGATCACTGCAGAACAGTTGGTCCGACTTAGACTGCACATCTCTCTGCTGCGCTTCGAGTTAATAATTGGCCATGTCTGGTGTGCTATGCGGGCACAGGTGGCATTTTGGCATTTGCTGCATGACCTGCGCCTGATGTTGAGCTTACAGGTAGCTAGAGGCATACTTATACCTTCCTAGTCCGCGAGGAGTGGTAGTATAGTACCTTTCCTAGCTAGCTCATCGGCTTTACAGTTGCCTTCAATGTCCTGGTGGCCAGGGACCCATATTAGGCTAATAACATGCTGTTTTGCCATGTCGTGTAGAGATTTGCGACAGCTTGTTACTGATATCGAATTGGAAGATATCGAGCTGATGGATTTGATTGCTGCCTGACTGTCAATATATATGTTTATATTGCTAGGGCTAACTTTGAGCCTTTCTAGGCAGTCTATAGCTTCCTTTATGGCCAGTACCTCAGCTTGAAAAACACTGCCACTCAGCCATACGCTGAACCTTGTTTAGTTCAGAAAGGGTGGTTTTCTTTTTTAAACAGGGCCACCTTACTGCGACGCCATACAAAAGTATAGGTTTGACTATAGATGTGTATAACCATTGAACGATATTTGGGGACATGCCCCATTTCAGACCAATGGATTTCCTGCACGTGTATAGGGCGACTGTTGCCTTCTTAACCCGTGATTGGGTATTTAGGTTCCAGTCCAGTTTCCTATCCAGTGTCAGTCCTAGGAAACTGGCACTGTTGTTGAAAATCAGATTTACATTATTTAGTCTGGGTGGGACAAGAGGAGGGACTTTGTAGTTTCTTGTGAAAAGAACCAGTTCCGTTTTATTTGGGTTTACCCCTAGTCCACTCTCCTTTGCCCAGCATGAAAGTATGTTTAGTTTTCTAGTCATGAGGTCACAGAGAGTTTGTGGGTATTTTCCCTTGAAAATTACAGCAACGTCATCTGCGTATGCAACTATTTGGCAGTAGGGGTGACAGGACGCCTCCTTTTGGCGTACCTCTGCTTACGAACCTGGAGAGAGTTGACGACCCTAGTGTGGATATCACAGTCACAGTAAGCATGGGGTCAATGGATGCTGTGAGATGGAGACTTATAAGTCGTTCCAGGGTCTTTAGCATGAAAGATGACAGACTGATGGGTCGGAAATCTTTGGCGCTGGTGTGCAATGGCTTCCCAGCTTTGGGTATAAAGGTTATTTTTGACTGGAGCCCTTTCGGTGGCATGCGACCAATCTTCAGAATCTTCCCGAAGATTTCGTGTAGCCAGTTTATGGCTGTATTGCCCGCCTTTTGTAGTTGGGCTGGGCTTATTTGATCTGGGCCTAGAGATTTGAACGGCTTGAAGCTGATTACTGCCCATTTAATGTTATCTTTGTGTATAAGAGCCTTTAAAGATGCTCTCTCTATACAGGTGGTTTCTACGCACCTCGGGGACTGCACGGAGCAGCCAGGGAAGTGTGTTTTGAGGAGGATATCCAGTGACTCTTCACCGGAGATCAACCAAGAGTTGTCATCCTTTTTCAGATAACCACTTGTGGGTGCAAGTTTTGATAAAACTTTTCTAAGCCTTGCAGCTTCAGTAGTTGAATCAATATCCGTGCAGAAATCTCTCCACGATTTCCTTCTTTCTCGTCTGGTGGCTTTTTTATATTCAGCCAGACTTGATTTGTATTTTGACCATTGCAGGTCGTTATTTTGCGCTTTCGCTGCATTGAAGAGAGACCTGCAACTTTGTCTAAGGACTTATAGTTGAGGTGTATACCATGTTGGTTTCTTCTTGTGCACTGGCTTACTGATAGGGCAAGCTGCCTTAAAAGCCTTATTACATGCTATATTGAAAGTCTCTGTGAGATTGCAGAGACGAGCTAAGTTGTCCGGGCCTTTCGGTGGGTGTTCCGAAAGGGTTCGGTCAAGTTTGGCTTTGAAAATTTCCCAGTTCGCCTTCTTTTGATTTATGAAGTGAACTGGTTCTGGATGGCTCGCGAGAAGCTCGAATTCTATGTACCCGTGATCAGAGAAGGAGTGGTCATCGGACATTCTCCAATTTGTTAACTGGTCACTCATAGATTGTGAGATGAGGGTCAATCAATGACCTCTTGTATATTTTTGATAATGAAAGTGGGTCATTACGCGTTGGCGTCGCAGCCCATAATTAGGCCAATCCTGTGTTTCTCGCACTTCTGGACGAGGGACCTTGTAATCTCGTCTGGTGGCGGGCCAGCGCTGTCACAGACCATAAAGGCAGATGCGTTTTTTAACTTAATTGCCAGCTACTAACAGCTTGTAATTTTTGTTGCCTAGTCCGCAAACCTTTCCTCCAATCACCCAAGATTCTTGGACTAGTACTATATCGTCTCCGCCTCCAGCCAGTCGGAGCATCAGAGCAGCGGATGCTGCTTTACTGTGGTGAAGGTTTATCTGTCGTAGTCTCAAGGACATCCGGAGATTCCATCCTCACCACCGTGTTGTTGCTATCGTCCTCGTCCGATAGCGTGAAGTCATCTTCGTCTAACTCGTGACACAAGGCCTCAAGGCCCCGAGTCAGAGTCGACATGTCCGACGTGTAACCTGGCTCCAGCTCCTCATCGGTTTCTCCGATCTCCGCAGGAGGACCCTGTTCGGCCGTCTTCTTACAGACAACAGGGTCTCCTCCTGCCGGCGTATCCGATTTATATACCTTGACGGTAATGAAGCCAAAGCCGAAATTGAGCTCGCCCTTGGCGGCTTCGATGGGGGCTAGCGATTCCTTGTTCAGGACCAGCACAGCCTGATTGGTTGGCCCATCGGTGGTTTCAATCTTCACCACCCTCCAATCATGGGTGGGAAGAGAGGGGTTGCATAGCTGCAGAAGGTTTAGCACCTGGTCCGGTTCCTTTAAGGAGGCCGGGATCCAGATGCGTACACGAGGTCCACTCGGGACTTCGCTCCAGTCGACAGCGACCAGCTTCGCCCCAGGGTAGACCTCACCAAGCTCTGCTACGGCAGCTTTATAAAGCTCTACAGAGCGAGCGTCTTGGCAGGCGATAACCTTCGTGTTACCCTGGTACCACCCAGCATCCCTGCATACCGGTGGTGACCCAGGCGCCTTGCTCAATGGTTTCAAGCAGTGGACAGCGAGGGCTCCTTCCACCCACTTCCATTGATTTCTCGGGACTCTGCCGTCCTTGTTTCCCTTGTCAAGGATCCCTATAAGGATTCTCTCCTTGACAATGTCAGCAAAGGACCTTCCCTGCTGCACCTTGACCCGCTTTGCAGCGGGTCCGTGAGTTTTTTGGGAGCGTTGCCTTTTTGTCTGGCTCTGCTCTTTGTTGGGTGGAGCCTCACAGAAGTTTGGCAGCACCTTCCTGGCCCACACCACCTTATTTTGCCATTCGGCTGGTGGGTCGGAAGCTGTGTTTGCATTCGGTCGCTTTAGAATGCTTGCGGCATTTCTTCGGTCGGCATATGCAAACCTCTTAACCGCAGCGCTGGTAGTTGGATTTTCCCTCTTTGCATCCGCTCCGGCTGGCAGGTCGGCTGCACAAGTGCTTTGCCTACCTAACACAGACTCGGATGGGTCGGGGTTCTTACCAGCTGCACCCTCACTACTGGCTTGACAAACAGGCTTTTCCGCCACTTTTGTCGTGTTACCGCTTTGGCCAGGCTTACGAGCCACTGCCTCCGCTACATGTCTGGGATTGCTCCCTGCCGGTTTTGTAAGAGTACCGGACTCCTTTTGTGTTTTTTATGTTGTTTGGAAAGCAGGGACAAGACTATGGGGACAGTTCATGTCCAGATCGGGGCACGAGTCTAGCATCGGTACTTTGCGGGATCACTGTGATGCTATTACCAGTCGGCACCCTCATGGAGGGTTCAGTTGAGGAATTTTGCCGACCCGTTGGGTGCTTTGATCTCCAGAGATGGAACCTTCCCCACCGGCCGCTGCATCCGACTCATACACCTGTACGGTGACTGACCTGAAGCCGAAGTTCAATCGGCGCCAGTGACTCCTTGTTCAGGATAACCACCGCCTGACTCACCGGGCCCTATGAGGCCTCTATCTCAACCACCCTCCAATCTTGGGTGGGAAGGGAAGTATTGCACCTCTGCAGCATCATTAACACCTGGTGTGACTCCTTTAGCAACGCCGGAATCCAAATGCGAGCCTGAGGTCTACTTTGAACTTCGCTCCACTTAATCAGCCTAGCTCCTGGATAGACCTCGCCAACGCTTGCTATGGCTGCCCTATATAGCTCCACGGAACGTACATCGTCACAGGCAATGACTTTGTTATTCCCTTGATACCAACCAACATCTTTACATACTGGTGGTGGGCCGGGTTCTCTCGTAATCAGTTCAAAGCAGCGGACAGCTAGCGCTCCTTCCACCCACGCCCACTGATTTTTGGGGATCTTTCTGTCCGTATTGCCTTTGTTGAAGACCCTTATCATGATCCTCTCCTTAGTAATGTGGGCGAAGGATCTCCCCGGTAGGACCTTGGCTCTCTTGGACACAGGTCCGGACACCTCCTGGGAGCGCTGCCAATTTGCATGGCCTTGCTTCTTATTTGGACCCATTCCACTTTGTTCAGCCAGTCGGCTGGTGGATTTACCGCAGCGCTTGCGTTCTGTCTCTTTAATATGCTGGCTGCGACCCTCCGCTCAGCATATGCCAATATCTTTGCTAAGGCACTGGTGGTTGGCTGTTCGCCCTTTACACTCCCTCCTGCCGAAAGATCTGCTGAACAAGTGCTCGATTTCACTTCCACGGACGCGAGTGTGACATGGTCGTCGCTAACTACACTAGCACCGCTGACCAGGCAAATAGGTTCCATGACCACTTTTGACTGAGAATAGTTTTTGCCTTTGAAGCCACTACCTCCGCTAATTGTTTGGGATTTCTCCCTTCCGGCTTTTGGCGAACGGTGGACTCTTCTGGTTTAATTTTGTTTATTTTCTGATCCATTTGAATACCACAAGTTGCAGAGAAAAGAGGTTCGCCTGCACTATGCAGGTAGCGCTTATTAATATTGGAGGTCGCCAGGTATCCGGTTTACTAACGGGTCCACAGCCAGGCTGACTATCGGCACGGGTCGCGTTACAACTTAGTCCGGCCCTACCTCGAACTATGATTTGCCCCTTACCAAGAACTTGTCTATAAGGCAGATCATGTTCGAAGTTCAGGGTACAGATCTTAACTGGCATCAATATCTTGTGGACTGCTGTGAAACTATTTCCGGTCGGCACCCTCGTGAAGGGTTCAGTTGAGGAAATTTTTGCCAACCTGGTGTTACAAATTTCTATATATTTAACGCAGTCATTTGTTTGATGATATTAATTTATTAAAGAATGTAAAGCTAAACAATGAATTGTATGAGGCTTGTATAAAAGGAAAACAATATAGACAAAGACTATATTAAAAGCCTTTGTTTGTTGTCAATTCGGATATTTTGTGGTCGTATTATCAGACTACTACAATTTACAATAAAAGTTATTATGTTTGATTATCAATCAATATACACATAATTGTGTGACCTACTACTTACCTTACTACTTTTCATGATTTTATTGCAAAGGCGAAGCTCACTTCAATGGAAGGGAATATTTATCTAATGAGGTGCGTGAATATTGTTTAGAAAAAAGGTATCAGCCATCATTTAACGGTTACACACACTCCACAATTAAATGGTGTACCTGAGCGTATGATCAGATCAGTAATAGGTAAAGCTCGGTTCATGATGAATGGAGCAAAATTGAATGAGCAATTTTAGAGTGAAGCTGTTTTAACAGCAACATATTTAACAAACATGCTACCAAGTAGAGCCATATGAGATGTGGCATAATAAAATTGAATAAAGAAATAAGTTAAAGTGATAGACAAAAAGATCGACCTAAATTATATTCTTATGATTTGTTGGCAGCAGCAGCAAAGAACTTCAAACCTTAACATAAACAAAACAATTGTTGTGAATAAAACGCTAAGCGTTGGCTTCTAGCCTCAATATCTATTGGAAATATACTTTATAATATTTCGGAATTGGTATTGTGATATTATTTCAAAATAACGGGATAAAGCTATCAAAAAGCTGATGGGGCAATTATTATTATTATATTGTTGGGATAAAAATGCGCTGTGACCTGCTAAATCTATTGTGCCTCCTTCTAAGCCTCTTCCATCAACCCATGCTCTTGCACGAATACAGGAATCTTTGTTAGGTTGAGGGTTTCAATATCGTTAGAGCTCAGGGCATAGTTCGCTACTATAATACACAGCTTAGATAGGTGACTTCTTAGTCTTCAATGTCCTGTTAATAGACCGGTGAGTATCCTAAGCCCCAAACGGTTAGGGGCCTCCCTGACCCCATTATCGCTTGTTCATCGGCCGCTGTTCCCCGCTTATGACCCGGGACTCATCTGCGTCCGGAGTTGGTCAAGCTTGGCTTATACCTCATGGACTGCTCTTGACGTTGTCTTCCTCCCCTAAGAGCATTTATTGCTGCCTGACTATCGGATAGGATGGCTATATCCTTGTTCAGATAGTTACGTTTCAGGTTAACAATGGGGATTCCTGGTATGATGTACGAGGGCCCATTGATGCACCAGTTTCTGGAGTGCGATTTCATTCCCACTCCCTTTTGCTACTCATATGAACTGTGAAGTTCTATTCAAAAATGTGTTCAGCTAACACTTCATCCTTAGGCTGCATCAGTACGGGAAGTTATCTGAAAGAAGTTGGGCATCTCTCTGGCTTGGGATATATTTGCCCACAACTCCTTCTACTGATATCCTTATTGATGATTTGGGTATCCTTTTAGATCCCAAGCTTAATTTTGATAAGCATATTTCTTCCTTCGCTAATCGAACCTTTGGTGTTCTGGGTTTCATCAAGTGCTGTTCAAAAGAATTTTAATCCGTATAAGAACAATTTTCATTATTTGACTTTAGGGGTCTTAATTGGAATACTAATATGAGCTTACCTACTTACCCTAGTTGACTTTTATTGATAAGTAAAGACATTATGATGTTATTTTTTTACATAAACTTATAGGTGGTAAGATTGATTCTTCTGAGTTAATAAGCCAACATAATTTTGCAGTTCTTGAAACCTGTAGTTCGAATTATGTAATCCTTAACCTATTTCGGATTTTAAGCTCTAATTGTAATGCGCTTTCCCCATTATGCAGCTGTGCATCTTCTATTTCTTTTATTAAAACAGTTGTGTTATGTCATCTGAATTGCGTCCTCGGTCGGTTGAGTGGGAGACGCGTTAACCAGCTCGATAGTATTTCAACGTCTAAGAATATCCACGTCGCCGATGGAACATCATACGCCCCACCTCCATCGTTTGCCTCGCTGAGGCAGCATAAGACCGTGTGCATCCAACCGCGATTGTGCTGCTCCACACCGGTGCAAAAACCTTTGAAACTCGTCACCAACATTGGTGCTAGAAAAGTTTGCACTGCAGTGCTCCGATCAATGTCAACGGAGCTGAGTCGTGAGGTCGTACTCGAAGTCGATCCTCAACTCCACCACCACAAGTGAGCAATCCAGGACATATAGCCGAGGCAGTGGGCTTAAAGCCTGTCCAAAGCAAATCTCTAGCAAGTGGTCAGAGGACCTGTTTGCTATCGAGTGATACTTGGGTAGTTGGTGAAGACCCTGGACCTCTGAAAGTCCCGAATATACCTTGTGCTCGTATCTGGATGTTTACAATGCTACACAGATTCAGCTATTTCCAAAGAAAATTGAAGAGTAGTAAAGATTGAGGACACGCAGGTATCGATGAATCAGGCAGTGATGGTACTTAATAAGAAGAATTGCTGCTGCCAAAGGAAGTCATACAAAGTAAGAAAATAATATTCATGTTTTATACATTTTTATAAGACTTTTTGTGTCAAAACACTTTCTGGACAGCCCAAAGAATTGATAATTTTGTATTTTGAATTTTAAAATAGTTTAAGTTAATGAATCTTGTACATTTTTTTTTAACTAGTTGAATAATAAAATTTTAATATCTATCTTCAATCAACGATTTTCGGAACAGAACATCCAGTATTTGCTATTACTGCGGCGCAAACAAATTGCATAAGAAGACAATTTAGCAGATATGAAGGCGAATATTAGTTAAAATTAGATTCCAACGGTTTTTACATATTAAAAGGCATAGAGCTTGTCCTGAGAGAAGTGTTTTGATTAAGACAAGACGGCTTAAAAGTTGAATCTAAAAACCTGGCAATCAAGTACTATGCGAAGATATAACACAGCCAATCAAGTCAGCAGATATCTCGATTTTCCCGAAAGCATAACCCATTTTGCGCAGAGAGTAAAAACTGTTCCTCTCATTTGACATTTACCATTTGGGCGTGTAACTATCAATTTTATTAACCAAGTCAGAACGGATATTTCACCTAACTTGATTCAGTAGGGTATAAAAAAAACTTTTTCTATTTCATTACATCATTTTGGTTGGCCTCATATACTCGACAATTACTCCATTATTGGTTTTACTGAATACAGGCTTAATTTTTTATTTGCTCGCATTATTCATTTTGTGGAGCGGTTTGTGATCTTACCCTACTTAAAGTTAACACAAATGAGTAGCTTAAACGTTAATATGGATCTGTAAAGATATATGTAGTTTTTTTTTTTTTGGTTCTTTTTATTTAACAAATTAGCATTATAATTTTTAATCACTCTATTTTTAGAAACTTCAGCTCTCAAATTGTATTTTTATGTTTTCGGTATCATCATTAATTGGTTTTTCCATATGTTGATCGTTTATTTATTTTAATTCATAATTAAAAATTTTTCTTGTTTTCTTTTTTTTTTTCAATTGTGATATTATGTTTCCTGCTTTTACAATGTTCGGTTTAATATATTTATAAAGATTTTCTTTTCATTTTACAAAATTTCAAAAATATATAAGAGAACATTCGATGGTACTTTGCAGAGGGCTGCCTCCGTCTCCAGGGGATGACAAAAAATTGGGCTCTCTTCCTAGCGTCATGGACTAGCGATCGGGACCATGGGCTTCTTAATGGCTTCCAGAGGTTTCGGAATGGGTCCAGCAGCGGTGCCTCTCCGCTTCCAGAGGGCTTTGGTTACGGCCCCTGGCCGGGCACAGGAGGACACGTGGCACGATCACAAGTTATATATGGGGCGGCTATAATTATTTGGTTGGTTCGTTTTTTTTTCTTGCACAGTTGTTATAACTTTATTTGTGGTTTTGGTGTCTTTTAAATTTGTGGGTTTTTTTTTTGTTGGTGTTCTTTCTGGTTTTGGTGTGAAAAGAACTCGGCACTATTTTAATTTATTTTATTTTTTTTTTGTTCAGCCGCCACGTGTTTTATAAATTTTCGCCGACCGACGTTTTACTATTAGTTGCATCCGCACGTTGCAATAATTTTTAGAAAGGAGAAGGGCTTTGGCTGAGATCAGCTCCCTTTTATACCTGCTTGTGCTCGCTCAAGCCGCCGGATGCAAGCGGAGACAACAAAGTTGGCTGAGTTTCGAAAGCTCCCTTAAGCGATCTATCGCTAACCTTGAGCATGCTCCGTTTGCGTAAAAGTTTCAATTTT